AACTTACACCAAAATAAGTGTTGTGCCAGTGCTGCCTTGTCACTCACAATAAAAGTACCACCTAAATATAACAGTATTTATCTTAGTGTGTGTGTTCCTCATTAGTGATTGAATGTGGAGGTGTGTGTAGTTTTTAGATCAACTGCCCTGAGATTCCACCAAAGAAGAAACAAACAAGTCTTTTGAAGGGCAGTTCTCAGAAACGCTGGGCGGGGATGTCTGCTCTAGTGTGTGTACGTTATGATTTCTACCACAGAGGAAGTCAGTGGAGGAGACTCTTCACAAAATCTCTTTGAGGCAGCAGCAAACCTGCTCTGTGCTCAGATGGATGTCAGACCACCACCTGGCTGGATCAGTGCAAGAAACATTCCTAAACGTCACTGAAGTCGGAAACGAGTGCCGCTGAAGGAATTCCTTTCACGGAAATCTCATAATACAATCACCTCATGGTGCTGTTACTCAAAGTGATGGAGTGAAAGTTTAGCGGGTGAATGTAAAGGAAGGTGTCACTGACAGGGAACATGCATGCTCAGCAAACATGCCTCAGGTTAAAAAGTGGGCTGTGGATTAGTTTCTGGAAGTACTGTATATGTACTGTATATGTAGCTGAATCCACACATCAAACAGCAAATGTAATCTACAATCTGGGCATCTAGATGTGCCTTTGTATTGTCCTGTCTGCTGTTATGATGAAAAGTAAGTTACTTGTGACTTTTTTTATGTGAATCAATGTCTATTTTGCTTTTTATTTTGGGTCTCTGTGGTGCAATGAAACAGTGATTCCATCTGTATCCAGTTCATCAGAGATTTGACATTTTTCCAGGGCAGAATTAGACAGTAGCAGTAACGTTAGTATAATTTGAATTAAGTACAACGGGGTAGACAGAATGATCAGTAACTGCTACCATAACTACAACAAAGACAAGATAAAGTTCCTGAACAGACAAAGACATCACTGTTTGTTTGATTTGGTCCTTTGGTCAGAGAGAAAGTCAGCAGTGGTTGTTTGAACTGACCTGGATTGTTCTAATCTGATCTAAGCACCTTATTAAATGGGTTCAAACTCATTAAATGCTGCAGTCGTTGCAACATATAAGGAGCCTGTGACCCAATAAATCCTGTTTTTATGTAACCGTCAGTTAAAAATATCTTTAAATGATCTGGCTAATTTGATGAATAGCAATCTGAAGATATCTGAACGTTATTTGTTTACTTGAGAACCTCTAAATATAGAAGTGAAACATAAACAAATCTACCTTTTTTAACTTTTAAGCCGTTGTCTGTCTGTGTGACTGTCTGTCTGTTTGTCCAGGAATGGGTCCGATCTACATGAATGAGGTGAAGTGTCTCGGTCAGGAGAAGTCCATCTGGAACTGCCCCTTTAAGAACATCACATCAGAGGACTGTCAGCACATGGAGGACGCTGCTCTCCGCTGCAACGTGCCCTACATGGGACTCGAGAGCTCGGTCAGAAATGAACCTTCTTACTGAAATGTTCCATTTTTAAATTGTGCTTTTAACTTGAAGAAACATTAGAAAGCTGATTTAATTGTTTAAAACTGTTATCATAATATTTATTGCATCAGCCAGTACAGGATTTTACTTTCTTATGCTTTGATAAACATAGCATAGGAAAGAAGTTGAACAATGTTATACTGTGTTTATTGTATTATCCCTTCATTTAGAAGTGCTCTAACATGTAGAGATTTAGAGCTGATACTCACAGAAATCTTTTAACTCCAAACCAACACTCACTTCCTCACTGCTGTCACAAACAACAGTAACATCATTTGTCATTTTGTCTTTTCCATAGTTTAAAGTTTCATATTTGTATGCACTGAATTAGTTTAATAGTTTGAAACCAGCTCAGACGTAATTTATTGTTTTAAAAACATGTCAGAGAGACAACTGTGGTTTGTGACAACAGTGAATTCCTTTTAACACAGAGTATTTCTGGTTGTGCAGTCTGTATTTTACCAAATTATACTCTTGTTTCCTGTAGATACACATAGATGGCGGCAGCAAGTGGGATAAAAACTCTAACAGATAAAAATAGTTATTATCCCGTCCGGCCCTTGTGTATCTATACTCTGCTTTGTGGTCTCTAACCCCTCGGCCCCACGCAGATCCGAATCACAGGAGGACGTACCCGTTACGAGGGCCGTTTGGAGGTGCTGAGCTCAGACTCTAACGGGACGCAGAGCTGGGGTCTGATCTGTGGAGAGACCTGGAGCACCAAGGAGGCCATAGTGGCCTGCAGGCAGCTGGGCTTGGGCTACGCTAACCAGGGCCTGCAAGTAGGTTATTAACACCAACTAGAGCTGCTTTAACCAGTTATCTTTTAGTATATTTGACATATGCAAAAATAATATACTGTCATAAACACCACAAAAAAACAAATTCCTTC